ACCATTTTTACCATGTGGTTTGTTAGCCTGGCTGAACTAAAACTATGATATGAAAAGGGCGGGATCCCGCCCGGCCCACGGCAGAAGACTACATTGCTAGGCTTCTAGGGGGGGGGGGCTCGGGCGGGGCGTAGTGCACTCCTGCTGTCTTCCGCAAGCTTTCCAACGGCCTTCCGCCAATCTTCCGCCGCGCGTTGCTTCCGTCGGCTGAGCGAGCGATGTGACGAACGTCCAAGGCATTTTCAATGGGCCGATGTAGTGATTGAGGACATCGGCAAGGCGATCGCGGCGCACCGAAGCCACTGGCGGCGCCCGCCCCCGCGGAACGGAGGGGCAGAAGCTGCCGAGCGGGCGGCCGCCCCGAGCCGGGCGCAGAGCCCGTCTGCATGATGCGAATTAGCACACGCGCGACCGATCGACGCAGGAGAAGAAGGAAAAGCAAAGGGAGGAGGAAGGGGGGCCTGGTTGGTCGCAGGGTCTTGCTTGGACGTAGGAATCGGAATGGGGCCCAGTTCTGCCTTCGCTGCTCTGCGCGCATGGCGCGGTCTGCTGTCGCAAGCCCCCCCTTCCTGCGCCGTTGCCTCCCCCGCGCCCGCCCCGCGCCTCTGTCCCGTCGCCCAGCCATCTTCTCGGGCAGCTGCCTCCCTTTCTCTAATTTGAGGAGGGCGCTGTACTTCTCATGCCCCGACTCGCCCCCCCGCGCTTCTGCCGCTCTAATCCTCGCTTCCTCTTTCCCATTCCTCGGCGCACTCGGGTCTTCCATATGCGCCGCGGGGTCGAGGGCCCCCCAGGTCAACTCCACTGGGGCCCCCTGGTCTGGTGGCGCTCTCCTCTTCTTAGCTCCCCTGCAATACTTCAACGTGCCCCCCTCATCCATGGCGGCCCGCGCTCCTGCATCGGCGTCCTCTGTCGGCGGTGGCCTGGGTCCGCGTGTCTGCGGTTCTCGCGCAGAGTCCGAATGCGCATAGGTTTTGCCAGCGAGCCTCCTAGGCGGGGGCGCCCGAGCTCGCGCAGCCATTGCTCCCGGGAAGCAGGCGCGCGCACCCCCTCGCGGCGGCTTCTCGGACAACGCGTTCACCAGGGACTGGGGGTTCGGGAGCGCAGACAGTCCGAATCGTTCATATTCCTCATTGTACATTGCATCGTGCATATAGTTTCGGTTATCCCTTGTTGCGCCATGGACGTGGCTGACCCCGTCCCCTTTGGGTGCCCCGTGGTGCGCTTGGGGGGGAAGAGCCAGTGGGCGTGCCTCATGGCGCCGTCGCGCTGGCGTCTTCGGGGTCTTCTGCCAGGGTCTCTGCAGCGATGGGGGGCGGGAGTGCGCAACCCCTCCGCGGCGAATCGACGGCGGGGGCGGCTGGGTCCTCGGACCTTTCCCCTGCCTCGCGCCCCGGGAGGGCAGGCGGCTACGCCCCTGGCCCCGACGGTGCGCACTGGGCGCCCTCAGACGCGCGGCGTCGTTCGGCGCCTCCACGGGGCCCTCAGAACACGGATCGGCCGACCAGGCGTCAGAGACGAAAGCCGATCGCACGGAGATGCAAGGCGGCGTAGAAGGCGAGGAATTCTCGGGCGAAGCGCCGTCGCGCTTTCTATCGCGCGTCACTGTTGCATAGAACAGAGAAACGAGAAAAGGCTCGGGGGGGATTTTCCTTCGGGGGGGAACCTGGGAAGCGCGCAAATAGGGTCGCGTCGTGGATGCGAGCCATCTCAAATTCAGACCGAATGTTTGCTCACACTTGTGCAAGCGCGTCGGTGGGAATGTGGCATGTTCACGGGGGTCAATTTCTACCAGAATGGCGTCCGGGAGTATGATGTCGGGTCAAAGGTATGGGCCTTCATCATTCGTGGAAAGGTTTGCGCGGTGCTGAACCAATGCCCTACAGCATTGTGGAGGGTGGGGGGATCGAGGGCGACGGTGTCGGGGGAGTGGGATAGGAACAAGGGGCGAGGGCCACGGGTGTCGCGTCGCCCCGGGAGGGCCGACGTCGGGGGATATCCCTCGCTGTTTGCTACGCCCCAGTCTCGGGCGCCACCCATGAGGAACCCAGAAGCGCCCTCGACGAACAATTGAAGCACGTGGGGTCCCGCGCGCGAGGACGTGACAACCTACTCATCGTTGGCGGCGACTTCACTGCAGAGGCGATATTACGACCCCATATTAGAAGGAGCCCCACGCGCAGTGGATGCGCCTGAACAACCGACACTTGAGACAACATCGCACGCTTGACAGCCTCCAGGGCCGAGATGCGGATATCATAATTGCGGGCGCCCCCATGGAACAGACCAAGAGTTGGGGAAGACAGCTTCAACATCAAAATGCTCCCAGAGACGGATGGATGCTCTTCGACCCGTGGGGCCTCCCCGGGATTCGGCACTAAAGCAGCTCCACCACCTGCGTGGGGCCCCTCACAGTATGAACCGGCAACTTTGCGATTGGGCCCGACGCGCTGGCGCAATTCGGCAACTGCGGCAAATGACCCACGCGTCTCCTGAAGCTTTAGCAGCGCCCTCGAACGAACGATGGCACTCTGAGCACGAAGCCGCCGTGCCATGCCCGATTAGGCATGCGAGCAGAGCGCCCGAGCGTTCCGCGTGACGAAGCCCACCGAAGTCCTGCCCGTGAGGCTGTTACCCACACCGATCGACCTAATTCGGGGCGAAGACGCGCTTGCCCAAGGCGACCGTGGCCGCATAGTGCAGCCCCAATGTCCGCGACGCCACTCTTGCTCCACAGCGCCGCGGGGAGCTCACCGGGTGCGACCTTGATCTTGGCGACAGGCTCCCACTGATAAGTGAGCATGCCAGCTCCGCTGTCGATGTAAATCTTGGACGGAGTACGATGCTGCTCCTCAAGCGCCCCCCTGATAGCGCGGCATGCTCTCTCGCGTGCGAGATCAGCCCAGTTCTTGCCCCGAACGACAGATACTGGAATAGAACGACCACCAGGCGCCGAAACCGCAAACGATCTCCATTGACCACCCGCGAGACGAAGTGCGCTCTGACAGTGTCGAACGCGGGCAAGCTTGGCGGCCTCCATTGGGCCCTCCATGCGCATGGCGAAGCCCTTGCCCAGCTGTGGGCCCTCAAGCTGCAGCCCCTTGCTTCCCATGCCCGTAACCGCACGCAGCGACCCACCCCTGCAGACACTCCATCGCGTGCATGAGGGAGATCTCTTCCTTTGGATTGTTCTGAAGATCGTAGGATCAACCTCGGGATCCCAGTCGGCGGCGAAGGCAAACTGGGCCCGCGATGGGACCGTCTTCGCCAAGCCCAGCTCGCCCTCCAGGCGCGCGAACCGCTCTTGCAGGTCACGCTGTACCATCTCCATCGCGGACAGCTTCTCACCGGCAGCGTTGAGCCTGGATGTAAGCGAAGCGAGATGGCTCTCAACCAGTGCGTCGAACTTCTTGAAAGCGGGGCCAATCGCAGCAGCCAGAGCGCCAGGAATATGAGCATGTATCGAATTGAGGCAGACCGTGGACATCTCACGCAGGCACCGCTCCTGGAACTGAGCAAACAACTCGTCGTGGACCGCGGACACGTCCTTACGGAGCTGCTCCCAAAGTAAGTCTGCCACTCGGGGATCGGAGCCCCTCGTCCCCGTGCCAGCGGCCGTCCCAGCACGCACAGGACTCCCAGCAACGGGCGTGCCAGGGTCGGAAGCAACAGGTGTGTCAAGAACATCATGAGCAGCAGTACGGGCAGACGCCATGCCCGCAGCAGCCTGTCCCATGCGCACGTCAGCCATCTCCTGCGGCGGGAACGTCGGGACAGTTTCCCATGCCTCCTGCGTGGAACGACCAGGGCTGCGAGACCGCACCGGGGGACCAGGCGAGGCCAGAGCAGGAGCGGCGGCAGCAGCACGAGAGCCATCGTCATGAGGGTGTTGCCCACGAGCGCCAGAGCGAAGAGGCGAGACCACGTCCTGCATTGAACCAGAAGACCCTGAAGCAGCACGGCGGTGGCGCGGGGTAAGTTTGACGCCCTTCTTATGTCCATCCCGTCCATGGAAGAAGGTGTGAGAACACAAAGCGACGCGAGAGGGGGACAGACTCTTGGCCCCAGCAGCGCGCAGCTCGACTGGGGTTGCCTGAAACGGGACCCACCCCCGGACTAGAGGTATCCACTTCTTGCCCAGTGGACAAAAAACATCTTGAGCCAAAATGGCTACGCACCGAAACGCCGACTACGAGGAGGAGGAGGAGGAGGAGGAGGAGGCAAGAGTTAGAGAGGGGAACTGGGAGCAGGAGGAGGCGCTCTTGCCAGAAGGGTGCAAGGAGTCGCAAGCAGGCTGACACCCACGCCGCGCGTCTCTCCCCAGCCTCCCCGACGCATGCGGCCTGCATCCGTCATTTCCGTTCCCCTCCTCCCCGTGACCTTGCTGAGCATGAGCCAAACGGGCCCGGCAAGAAACAAATCCTGCAATGTTTTCATAACTGTCCCTCACCCTGGAGTCCCCAAGGAACCCGGGCCGTCAAGAGATGGCTCACGATGATGAGCTGGCCCTGGGGCCCCGTTTCAGTCAGGAGCCCGTTCCTTCATGACGAGTCTTCTGCCCCTCCACTCCTGCCGTGATGCTGAGGGGCTGGGTTCGGGGGTCAAAGATCGACCCCCAGACCTGACCAGGGGTGCGTCCTGGCTGGACTTCCAAAGTAGAATCCAGCCGAGACGACGAGTAGCCCCGAGGAGGCCTGAAAAGGCCAAAACCACTCAAGGCCTTGGTCCTCGAACATCGAGCCCCAAACCTGGAGAAACTTGCCGTCGTCGTCCATGGCCCCCACCCTCTCTCCTTCCTCCATATTTGTCCCCACTCCTCCTCTTCCTCCTCCTCCTCCTCTTCCTTCGCCGCCTCCTCCGTCTCCTCTGTTGCCGCATCATCTGGCCTCCTCCGCCTCTACCCATCCTCCTCATGTTCCTCCCCCTTCATCCTCCCCGCCCTGGTCCTCACTCTCCTTCTCCTCCACAACATCCTCCTCCAATACTTCTGTGAGTCGCTCGTCCTGATCCTTCGGAACTGCGCGTCGAACGGCACGTGCTTCACCTGGAGTCCGTTACCGAACCCGCCCATGGTCTCATCGACTGTTTTGATGAACCTGGACAGGGCAACGGCAGGGTTGCGTGGGGGAGGCAAAAAGAAGAGGCGGAGAGGAAGAAGCAAGCGGACAGAGAGACAGGGCTACGAGAAAGGGAGACGATGCATACAGATGTGCGAATAGCTATATATATACATACATACATACATGCATGCATGCATGCATACATACATACATGCAACTGTACGCACACACATACATACATTCATACATACATGAACGTGTCCACACCTACATACATACATCCGTACATACATACATACATACATACTTACATACATACATACATACATACAAACATACATACATACATACATGCATGCATGCATGTATGCATGCATGCATACCATATACACATATACATACATACATGCATGCATACGTACATACATGCATATATATATATACACATGCATACATGCATGCAGTCATGCATGCATTCATGTATGCATGCATAACTATATATATACGTGTATGCATGTGTACGTGTGTACATGCATACACACATACACACATACATGCCTACCTACATAAGTGCCTAGGTACATACATACAATTATACCTACATACGTGCATACATACATCCATACATACATACGTACATACATACACACACATACGTACATGCGTCCATACATACACATATACATACATACATACATACATACATACATACATACATACCTACATACCTACATACCTACATACCTACATACATACATACATACATACATACATACACATACATACATACATACATACATACAAACATACATACATACATACATACATACATACATACATACTAGAACCATCGCGCGCGCTTCGCGCGCGCTCAGGTTCTTTTTTGGGGGAAACGACTGCAGCGGACCACGCGGGTCCAGTCGGTCGGTGAAGGCCAGGTTCGAGCGCAGCTCTTCAATATCAACTCAACACATGCAACAACAAGCGACAAGTTAACAAGCAACAACAGGTTCTAGCCCAGGCCGGGGGGGCGCTGGAATATCTTGGACAGCACTATCAAACACAGGCGCGTGACATAGTCGTGCCTCCTGAGGGCCTCTTGGGAACCTCTTGGGTCTTCGTGGGAACATCTGAAAGGCTTCTGGGAGTTTTCCGTGCTTCCTCCATTGGCTGTTGGAGGCACCTCTTGGGTGCTTCTTGGGGGGGCGTCTTGGGGCTTCTTGGGGTCCCTTGGGGGTATCGTCGGGGTTCTCCGGGCAGTCGGAAGGTGATGTTCTACAATATGAAGCCGTCATTGGCCGTCTTGGCTGCGTGGAGGCCCGAATTGAGGCCACCTGGGGCCGCACTGATGCAATCCCGAAGCCTCCCGGGTGCCTCCCGGGAGGCTTTTGGGGGCCTCGTCGGCCCGCTTGGGGACTCTTGAGGCCCCCTGTGGGCCTCGTAGGGCGGAAGGCTCTGCTGTTGGGTTCGCGTTCCCCTTCTTTGGGCCTCTCCTGGGCCCGTCTTGGGGCCCTCTCGGGCCGTCTTGGGCGCCTCAGGCACCGTCTTGGGGCCCTCTTGGAGGCGGCTATCTTGGAGCGATCTTGGGGGCCTCTTGGGCCGTTTTTGAGCGTCGGGATGCCAAAAGGCAGATAACTCTAAAATCTATCAAACACCGATGGGAAAACACAATGAGTTGTGCCTCTACAGGCCTTCCTGGGAGGCCTCTTGGAACCCCTTCGACCCTCTGGGGAGCTTCTTGAGGGCCTCTTGGGTCCTACTGGGGGCCTCTTGGGGCTTCCTGAAAGCCTCTCGGGGTAGAAGGCTCGGATTGTCGGTTCGTCTTACCCCTCTTGGGCCCCTCTTGGGGCAGTCTTGGTGCCCTCTCGGGCGCCCCAGGCACCCTTTTGGGGCCCTCGTTGGCTGTCTTGGGGCCCTGTTGGAGGCCTCTTGGGCTATCTTGGAAAGGTCTTGGAGGCCTTTGGGGCCGTCTTGGAGCGTCGGGACGCCACCAAGCTGACACCTCGAAAATCAATCAAACACGTATGGCAAGACAACAGTTTTTGCCACTTGGGGCCTTGGAACCTCTTCGGCCCCCCGGTGCGCTTCTTGGGGTCTCTTGGAGCCTGTTGGAGGCTTCTCGGGGCCTCCTGAGAGCCTCTCGGGGTGGAAGGCTAGGATCTGTGGTTCGTATTACCCCTCTTGGCTCTCCCTTGGGGCCGTCTTGGGGCCCTCTCGGGCCGACATGGGCGCCTCTGGCGCCGTCTTGGGGCCCTCTTGGGCTGTCTTGTGGCCGTCTTCGAGGCCTCTGGGGCTGTCTTGGAATGGACATTGGGGCCTCTTGGGCCGTGTGGAGCGTCGGGAATCTGAAAAGGCGAGAACCCGAAAATCCTTCAAAACCCAACGGCGAAATAAACTATTTGTGCCTCCTGGGGCTTCGTGGGAGGCATTTTGGAAGCCTCTTGGGGTGTCTTGGAGGCCTCTTAGGCAGTCAGGAGCTAATTCTGGAGTGATCTCGGGCCGTTATTGGTCGTTTTCGCGGTCTGGAAGCGCCATTTCTAGCGATCTGGGGTCGTCCCCGGACGATTTTAAAGAGCCCTCGGCGCCGCGGCAAGGCCCCCGAGGCCCCCAGTCCCAGGGCCCCGACCCGGGCCCCGCCTCATGCCCTCGGCAGGGCGTCCCTGGGCCGTCTCGGCGCCCTCCTGGGGGGCAGTTGAAGCGATATTTGGGTGTCTGGGACGGTCTTGGAGCATCGGGGCGCTGAACAGGAACCTCATGAACGTCACTTCTTGGGGCCCTTGGAGGAGTGCTCTTGGAGACCACTTGGGCCGAGTTGGAAGCCTTTCGGGCCATCTGGAAGCGTGTTCGAGCGATCTGCCCGCGTATCGAGCCCTATTGGAGGCCTCTTGCGGCCCTTTTCGTGTGTGTTGAGCTAGCTTGGGCCGTCTGGGGGCGGCCCTAGGCCGTCTCGGCACCCTCGTGGGAGCCTGTTAGGACGATATGTGGGTATCCCTGACCGTCTTGGGGCTTCGGGAAGCGGAACAGGCAGAATCGCTAAAATGTGCCAGAAACCGTTGGAAAAGCAATGATGGCTTCTTGGTGCCCTTTTTGGGGAATGCTCTTGACTCTTGGGGACCCCTTGGGCCGTGTTGGGAACTTTGGGCTTGATAGAACGATATTTCCGCGACTATAACTATTTTGGCAGCCTCCTGGGGCCGTTTTCATACGTTTTGGGGCTGTCTTGGGCCGTCTGGGGGCGGCCCCGGGCCGTCCCAACGCCCTCGTGAGGGCATGTTTGCGCGATATTTAAATGTCCGGGACCGTCCTGGAGCGTCTGGACGCTGAACAGGCAGAGTAATTGGAATCCATCAAAAACTTCAGGACAATAAATGATGTGGGCTTCGGCCCTTGGAAGAGTGCTCTCGGAAACTCATTGGGCCGTGTTGGAAGCCTTCTAGGCCATCTGGAGGCCATCTTGTCGAGTTCGAGCTAGATGTCTGCGTTTCGAGCCCTTTTTTTTGGGGGGGGGATTCAGCACGCCTGTGGCTTAAGACCAGCAGCTGCGAGGGCACCCACCTGATTGGATGGCAGCATGCTTCGGCACGATCAACCACGTGAGACGACGTCGCAGTTGTCGCGAAATACGTCTCGACGAAATCAACATATTCACGGGTATCGCGGTGTGCAGGCAAATGTGCTTTGACACGCTGTACAAAGCCTACACGTGCGCAACAAATGCCAATTCAATATGTTGGCAAATGACCCATGCGTCCAAGGATGGAAGGAAAGACGCCCAACCAGGGAAAGATGACGCACTGGTGCGGGAACTGAGTAAACACAAACGATCAAACAAGTCGGGATCAACTAAAAAAAGAGCATGGGACGACTCGCAGGCCCACAGTTCTGAGTTGGTACCTCGGGTACACATTGCGAAGGCACCTAATTACCAGAATGGCTGGCAACATGTTTCGGCACGATCAGCCAAGTGAGACGACGTCGCATTTGTCGCGAGATGTCTTCTCACGGGAATAATCAATTGCAAATCGGTGTGCAAGCACATGTTCCTGCGGTTTCGAGCCCTTTTGGGGGCCTCTTGCGGCCCTTTTCATATGTGTCGGCGCTGCCTTGGGTGTCTGGGGGCGTCCCTGGGCCGTCTCAGCGCCCTCGTGGGGGGCAGTTGAAGCGATATTTGGGTGTATGGGACCGTCTTGGATCGTCGGGGCGCTGAACAGGCAGAATTGCTGAAATCCATCATAAACCTCATGAACGTCAATGATATTGGCTTCTTGGGGCCCTTGGAGACATGCTTTTGGAGACCACTTGGGCCGAGTTGGAAGCCTTTTGGGCCATCTGGAGGCCATCTTGGGCGTGTTCGAGCGATCTGCCCGCGTTTCGAGCCCTCTTGGAGGCCTCTTGCGGCCCTTTTCGTGCGTGTTCGGGCTGTGTTGGGCCGTTTGGGGGCGGCCCTAGGCCGTCCCGGCGCCCTCGTGGGAGCCTGTTGGGATGATATGTGGGTATCCCTGACCGCCTTGGGGCGTCGGGAAGCGGAACAGGCAGAATCGTTAAAATGTGCCAGAAACCTGAAGACAAAAAAAAAAATGATTCAGGTTTCTTGGTGCCTTTTTGGGGGGAATGCTCTTGGGGACCCCTTGGGCCATGTTGGAAGCCTGCTGGGCCATCTGGAGGCAATCTTGGGCGCGCTCGAGCTAGATATCTGCGTGTCGAGCCCTCTTGGAGGCCTCTTGCGGTTCTTTTCATCTGTGTGGGGCTGTCTTGGGCCGTCTGGGGGTTTGGACGATATTTGGGTATCCCTGACAATCTTGGGGCCTCGGGAAGCAGAACAGGCAGAATCGTTAAAATGCACCAGAAACCTTTGGACGATCAATGATTTTGGCTTCTTGGGGCCCTTTTGGGAGTGCTCTTGGAGACTCCTTCGAAACCCCTTGGGGCCCCCTTGGGAGCCTCCTGGGGAAGAGGGCTCGAAAGGCCGGTCGGGTACCCCCTCTGGGCCTCTTCTTGGGGCCGTCCTGGGGCCCTCTCGGGCCGTCTAAGGGGCC